AATCTCACTGATAGCTCATTTTTTGAGATATCAACCTCAAATTTGGAACACAACGCATTTCGATTTTTGGTTTTAATTTTCTAGCTAGTAAAACATGTTTTGTGAAATATATATTTTATATAAAATATAAATATTTAAATTTTTACATTTTAGATTTTCATAAACTTAAACTTCCATAATTTTTTAGTAATATAATTTTTTTCACTTCTACAATAATCTGCCACGTGTCTTCTTTAAAAAGAGACTGACCTTATGTCTGTGCTCCAAAGCATTCACAATTTATAACAATTTAAGTTGGAAATGTCATTTTCAGGTCCATGCTCAAAAAGTGGAACCGACAGTTAACAGGTTAAAGTCACATGTCACAGCTTCTGGGTCCACTAATGTTGTGCTGTAGTACAACCAAAGATCCTGATTTTAGCCTTTATCTCCATACCAAAAATCTCAATTGGCCAGACAGTGATTCATCTTTTCTGAGTCGTTAAAATACTGGTGTCTGGTACACTGCGAGCCCGGAGACTGTAGTGTACATTGTAATAAAAAAAAAAAAATTTAGCTTAAAGGTGCGCCATAAATGAATGGTGCTCATAAATTGGATTGAGATAGTATTCTCATTTGAAACAGAGTAGAGGATGGACCCAGAAACAGTATTTGATGTCACGACTTAGCAAGTGGACAGCTAAAGCTTTGTCTTGCTATCTTCAGAAACTGCACCTATCCCCACCTTTGTACAATTTAATACTCACTCTGACGGTGACGTGGAAGGACAGCAGGCGCAGGATCTCTGCCATTGTGCTGGTCAATGTGTTTGGAAAGGACCTGAGCTGGGTTAGGAGGAGGAGGAAGTCCAACTCCCTCTGCCTTTAAACCCTCAGCTAATGAAACAAGGACAGACACAGCACTGGATATTAAAATATTATATTTCTGTAAGTAGAGGGATGTCACTTAATGGTGTGATTCTAATCTCCATTATTCCCATGTGAAAAAAAAAACTTTGGAAGCTGTTGCTGCAAAGGTATGTCGTTGTTCCCCAAATGCAGGTTTTCATCATGGGGCATGTCTGGTAGGTCCAGCGGTTGCCCGTGTGCCAAATCATCCCCTGGTCTGGCACCAGCTCCAGCTCCGAACCCTGCCCTCTCCTCCTTCAGCAATGCTGCAGCTTCTGCGGGCTCCATGTGCTTCTGCGGCGTGATGGCTGGCTTCTTTAGGGCTGGAGAAACATGAAATGTGAATCTGAATGAAGTAACTTTTTTTTTTCCAGCACGAGTTTTTTTCTCTCTGTTACTCATCAGCGAGATGACTATTCTGTAGTTCATTTAAATCTTTTACTTTGTGATACTCACCAAACTGTGCATCTTCTATCTTGCCTACTTCACTGTCCTCAATGCCAGGCATTCCAGCATCGCTACCAGGTTTACCCATATCATCTTGAATGTATGCGATTGGAAAAAAAGCAAAATAATTAGATTTTTTTTTCAACCAAAATGTTTATGCATCTGCTCATTGAGGCTTTTTTTTTTGTAGACCTTTCAGAAGTGGGCCATCATTTCGCATGATTTGTTTACATCAGTGTGGAGAAGAAAGAAACAGGACTGTATGAGAAAATGTACAAAAATAGTGGTGTACGTCACTTGCATACCCCACCACAACCCTATTCCACTAACACAGAGGCAATACTGGGAAGTAGCACCCTCTAGTGAGCACTTCTTACCTTTCAGTCTGTGAATCTCTGACATCTGGGCACTGACATCATTTTGCAGCTTATTCTGGAAAGCACAAAAAAAAAAGTGTGAAAACAGGAATGCAATATTATACAAACATTATATTTTTAGAATATATGATGAGTCCTGCCATATGAGATTTTAAGGGTTTAGTCAGGAAAAACACAAATTCAATAACTGAGTACCTAAAAAGCAATTTTAATTATTTGCCATTTAAAATAATACAAAATGGATAAACCGAAAACAGCATAAAAAGGTAAACAATGTAACAGTATACATATACATAACTGTCAATATAATATTTGTTTTATACAATTTATACAACAGTTTTATTTTCTTACATTTGACTTCCCCCCCCCAATTTTCATATCAAAAATGTCAACTACCCAGCTTTTTGAGTGCTATAATCAAGGTTTGATAAATCAAACCATCCCCTGGACATTTTGAACCCATGAGAAACTGTGTGAAGCTGCCTACAGTACCACACACTCTTCAGCATCGGCTCTTTTATGAGTCAAAAAGTATTGTTGTCCAATTCCTTTTCAATGATCCACATTAAGAGAATTCAATCTCCAGAGCTTTACTGCTGTAAGAGAGGCGGCTGTGATTTTGCGATAGGATAGAGAGGGGGAAGCTCAGAGGGAAGTGTGATCAAGATGACAAATTCACTGAGGGGGACGTGGACACAGTCAGAGCTTGAGTTTGCTGAGAGCAGAGCCCTGGCTCAAAGCACAAGACAAGATGATAGACAGAAAGGCAAATTAAGCTGCAAGGGCAGCGGACATAAGGACTGAGCAATGTGCTATTACAGGGGCCCGATAAGCCTTGAGCTACTGCTACCGGCAGAACAGCAGAAGGAAGTACAGCAAAATAGCAGTCTACTGCACTGTGTGTATGCAGAACCCACTAACACTGCTAACATTGGGTCAGCTCAATGTCTATGCATGCTCATCCTATAGATTTGTACTGATACTTCATCTAATCAACATCAAATTGTAAAAAAAAAATAAAAAGACAGGGAGCCATCATAAATAGTTAGGAGCCGGCCCTAGAGGAAGCAGAGGCTTGCAGTTACTCTCAGGCACAATGGAGCCAAAGAGGTGTATAATACCAGACCTTACATTGACCCATACACTAGTACCACACTTCTACTGCTGATTCCACGATTAGGCTGATCAGTCACCCGATTTAAAGTAAAAATTAATGGAGGAATCACACACAGGAGAGGGGTCAGTAATTAAAGCATCAATGTCACCCTGTGGAGAAAACAGCCGAGCTCAGCACCCTTTTCACCAGCAGGTGAGAGAGTAACAGAGTAAGCTCACAGCATCACTTCAAACCACTTCCACTCTTCTACAATATTTGGCTCAGGGCAACAACCACTCACATATCCATAGACTTGAAGAACTGATCTTCATCCATAACCATTAGGACCTTAAATAAAACTAAAGTCAATATGAAGTGGCTGTTACATACCAAGATGGAGCCAAGTACTTGGAAGGGAGAGATTTCCTTTTTTTTCTATCCTGTTTAAAATAACCTTCATAGATGGATAGTGCACAATTACACCAGGAACATGTATTAAAGTAGACAGGGCCAATTTTGATTTCACGACTCTCCTTTTTAAAGTCAACACTTGACCATGCTGACAAATTGATCATACCATCCAAATACCATTGGCTGCAGGTTGCAATACAAATATTCATCATTCCATCACTTTGACCCATCTGGTTGTACATTTTCTGTAACCATATGTAACACCTATTTTTATCCATAGGTGAAAAATATCATATTGTGGTAATAATATTGTATTACGATATTTTAATAAAGAGTATAAATCAATAATTTAACAATATTTTATAAATAAATGGTGCCACAATAGTTAATTACACAGTTTGCAAACTGACAACAAAATGTATGAGAACAGAAATATCTGTAATCTCAAAACTGGGTTGGTTCAGTTCTGCTAACACTTGCAAGTCAGCTCCAGTAGCCCACAAGCTTCAGAAACAACTTCATTACTGAGATATCAATTATTTGCAAAGGGTCCTACGCTTCACAGCTTCATTATATTTCCTACATGATAAAACATTTACTAGAATGATTAATAATTCAAAAAGAATATGGCGATCTTTTTTTCACCATAAACAACCTCAAGATCCAATGGTGATGATCTTTCATAATAGGGTTGGTACTGTTCAGAAAGAAACCCATGTTTCTTCATTGACAACCACTCACTACAATCAATATTTCAGACCAATTGTATTCCCAAACTACAGATGAATTACTATATTATATTTCACCAGTGCTCAATTTATCTGGAGAGCCCTTGACATGCTGCCTTCTGCGTCAATGGCCCAGCTATACAGGTCGCATGCTCTCAAGTTTGCACACGTCATCTGAGCAACTGCCATCGAGATGAATGGCAATGCTAATAGTTAACTTTCTCTTTGGACAGACCACAAAGCAAAAGTGAACAGGAAAGGACGAGTGAATAGGTGTGTCTGTGTGCGCATATGGTCCACCTATGGTTTACAGGACAGGAAACAGGATGACATTCCCAGTAGGGAACAGATCCTATTCCTAAACCCATGACACATGGACAAGGTATTAAATGACACCATGAAAAGGGATACAATTAGACTCCCTTTAAGATGTAAGCGTTGCCCTGATCAGTTAAGGAGCAATGTAACTTCAGTCCATCAAAATGTGTAGTACTGCTACTGACAGGTATTGAAAATCTAGCAGCTTTATCAAGACATTTCACTTATGGCGCTTTTCCACTGCGTGGTACGGCACGGCACGGTTTGCGTTTCCACTGCAGTTCAGTACCGCTTTAGAGTGGGCGGGATTATTCTCTATAGTTGCGCGTTGCGCCGCCTCTACTACCACGACTCCTAAAAAAAACGTTTTCATTCCGCGTCGCCCCATCAAGCTCTCGCTGGATCCGCTCCTCTGCTATCAACGAGAGGAACGTCTGTCACGTTTTGGTAACGGTACGGTTCACTTGGAACCCCAACCGAGGTGGTACTAAAAAAAGTACCAGGTACTGTACCCAGTGGAAAACCCCCAAAAAGTTAACCGTATGGAGCCGTACCATGCAGTGGAAAAGCTCTATTACTGAATTCTGTTACTTGTAAATTTTGTATGTTTCTAATGATAATATGCTGGTTTCCAGCACTTTTTCTGTCAAAGCAAACTTGGCAACATGTTAGTTTAGGGACTAATTCTCAGTATTAACTAGTTGCTTATTTGCATGCATATTACTACCATATTGGCTGTTTATTAGTACTTATAAAGCACATATTAATGCCTTCTTCTGAATGATCCCTTAATCTAGGGGTGGGCGATAGGGACGCATGATTAATCGAATGTGATTGTCATACACATCTTGTCAGTAAAGCCGGTTCTGTGATTAGTAGTAAATCACCATCACCTGCTTTCAGATGGAGCAGCATTTACTACACAGAGCCGTAGTTCTCCAACAAGCTACGCAAAAAACCCCAAAAAAACAGACGATATAATCATACGATTATGAAATCGAAGAAATCGTTTGCGATAATGACAGCTGTTTGCATAGCTTCTCAGTGAACTACGGCTCTGTGTAGTAAATGCTGCTCCATCTGAAAGCGCGTGAAAATAAGCAGTGATAAAGGCTATGTCAATTAGCATTGCATTATAGATATTAGAGCCCGACCGATATGGGTTTTTTGGGGCCGATACCGATACCGATATTTG